TGCGGAACTCATGAGCCGCGGGCATGGCAAGAGAGCGTTGTGGACAGGGCTCATGAGTTAATGACCACGAGGAACGTGACGCGGCGTCCTCCTCCGTTGACGTCACTGGCGCACAATTATTCTCATTCACTCGCCACGCAAAGAGACTAACGAGCACACCGCATATTTCTCACTTCCACATAGGTCTCTTTGGTAGAACTACGTCCAATTGACAGTACTTGAGCCATTAAAAATAACTACCAGACTTTTTGTTCGTGACAGTACGTCATTCGATGAGAAAAATTACTTTTTCCTCTTTTATAAATTCCTCTCTTACCGAACTGTGTTGGGAGAAAAGTCGTAGAAAACAAGCATGCGCACTGTGCAGCGATGTTTCAAAATCTCCTTTTTTAAAAGGGAAAATGATTGAGTGCGGTATTGTTTGGAGACTTCAAGGAATATTCCTGATAGGATATGGAGAAATCAGAAAGAATTCCACCAAATGGTGCTCATCAATTGGACGTAGTTCTACCAAAGAGACCTATGTGGAAGTGAGAAATATGGGGTGTGCTCGTTAGTCTCTTTGCGTAAGAGAATGAGAATAATTGTGCGCCAGTGACGTCAACGGAGGAGGACGCCGCGTCACGTTCCTCGTGGTTGCGGTAGTCGTGCTCATTAACTCATGAGCCCTGTCCACAACGCTCTCTTGCCATGCCCGCGGCTCATGAGTTCCGCATTCAGTTGCACATAGGTCTCTTTGATAGAATGCAATATCCCGCTTTGCCAATTCTTCAAAAGGAACCACGCCCACTGACCACATTGCTTCTTATCCAGCTTCCACGAGCACACCCCACATTTCTCATCGCCACATAGGTCTGTTTGGTAGAAATACGTCCAATTGGTTTTCCATTACAATTATAAAAGTTGACTTCAAAGCTGCTAAGTTGCAAATCGAGGTACGACTCTCTCAACAATACTGCCATGCTAAGGAAGAACGCCGTATGAGGCTTCAAACGTTGCCAACTTTCCTCCGATAAAAACCAAATTTACTGGAGAAATTGTGAATGTTTTTTCCCGAAATGTTCAGACAACTTCGTACGCAATTTAATCTAAAATATCTGAAAATTTCAAGGAAAAATATGCATGAATGTCGTCAAAAATACATGTTTCATCAAGGGAAATTTAGCAACTATCGAATGTTCATACGGCGTTTTTCCTTAACACGGCAGAATTACCAGCGCAGTCACCCATAAAGTATAGGATCTCTTCTCATTTCTCTCGCAAGCTGTAAATTCCAGAAAAGATCCAAGAATACCCACTGATTTTGTATGTTTTCAACTTTGACTCGAGACCTTATTTTTAAACAAAAAGTGCAGCCATGGAAACACTCAGAAGCGCAATTTCCGTGCGATAACGTCATCGCTGCATCTGAATATACGAGAATAATAATAACATAAAAAAAAAAAAAAAAAAAAAAAAAAAAAAACCCGTGTACCGATACGGAGTTATTTCGGTAGTTTTTCCGACGATGTATTGTTACTGATGCCGATCTTACAATCCAAGATGCTCCAAAAATTGCGTCAAGTAGTACACAATTTTCAGGGCTCAACCAGTGGCAAGGCGAGAATGATAGATTATCGATATTTTCCCGTATGGTGAAAAATCAATTAGTAAGGTGTTCGTTGGGAAAACCCTGTTCATCGATCTTTTTCCATGGGTTCAAATGGCAGATCAATCGATATATCGCAAAGCACGCCACGCCATTGCACTAGACTCAACCAAGGTGCGTGCGTCGAGTATGCGTCTAATTTGCAACTCAAATAACCCACTTGTAGAGACGAATCTCTTGTTGAGAAGTTTTTGATTATCCTGCATATCGATATATCGATATGTATCGATATCGATGGCTAAAGTAAGAAACCGCGTATCTCCGTGCGGTATTCAACAGCTCTGCGCAAAGCGCAGCAAGCGACCCCTCTAAAGGCGCACACATTTCACGAATGGGCAAGTATTATTTTCAGTAGAAAAATAATACCTACTCTTAATCTCACATTGTTTTGCACGTATGAAAGTAACTCCTCTTCAAATCGGCAAATAACCGATTCAAGTTCATTTTTTTCTTGTCGCTCAGGTGACTGAAATGCGTACTTAATTTTTACCTTTTGTACGTACTTACAGTGGAAATCGTCTGTCGGTGGAATTTAGTGGAATGTACTTAAGTGCACATGTTTTCTCTCTTATCTAGCTTAACTCAAGTCCTGCTAAGCACTCAAAATTTCCATGTATCCACGTGCATCCATTCAACGATGTTCGGATCTAAATGTGGCACTGAGGAAAAAAATTGGATCGTATTAGAATAGATCGTGTAAGCCGTAGAATTGTACTGTAATCGGTCGAACTTCGGTTTGTTCAATTGGATATTTGGTCTGTGTAACTTTCACCTCCATTTCATGCAGCCAATTTTTTCAATGCAGTTCGATTTAGACTGGGAGGTCAGCTACGTGAACCGGAAGTTCAGTGGGCTAATCTGCCATGTTAAGGAAAAACGCCGTATGAACCTTCGTCAGTTGTCAAATTTCCTTTGTTTAAATTCGAAAAGTCAGGAAAACTTATTATATACTTATATAATACTTATACTTATACTACTACTTATACTTATTTCTACTTATACTATACTTGTACTACTTATACCTATACTTATTACTTATATATTTCGCTCAATTTTTCAGAAAATTTTCTTCGTACTTAGATCTATATCATCTGAAAATTTCAAGAGAAATGGTCGTAACATTCCTCCAAAATAAATCTTTTACTGGATGAAATGTGGCAACGCTCGGACATTCATGCGGCGTTTTTCCTTAGCACGGCAGTAATTACCAGAAAACAGGGTGTTCTACACCATTTTATTTAAGTTCTCGATGAAAATTTCACGATAAAGTCTCCTCAAACTTCACCAGTCTCTTAACCTGTTGCTTTCCCGGTATTTATAGGATACAGTGCAATGACAGAAGCTGTTTTGAAAATGTTATTAGCTTTTAATTTTAGAAGTTATGCTACAAAACCAATAGAGTAATCACAATATGACACACAGACACATGATCAAAATCACACAAAAATACAAATTCATAGGTATGTTTATTTATCGTAATTTAGGCATGATCATCAAAGAGAAACGTATTTTACGGCTCCTAGATGAAAGTCGAGAGATACGCACTACGACGTTGAGGAATTGAGGATTCCTTCGGGCATTTTATTGAGAAAAGGAGCATTTACACAGAGGGGAATTTCAACACAAAAGTTTGGTTAATACGGAAAGTAAAACACAAAATAACCCTAGTCTTCGGTTGACAATTTCTAGAGAAAATGCCAAAGTTTTCTCGAAGAAATTTAATAAAAAACGATAGGTTAATACCAATGTCGGAGGAATGCATTTTCCCAGGCTCTCCATTAGTTTCTGCGCTAAATTTACTGCAAAGTGTACCAAAGTCAATACTTTGTGTTGGTTTGTGTTTCACTTCCTATATTAACAAAAATTAACACAAGAACACAAATATTTGTATAAAGGTATATGCATACGCGGAACACAGGGCCGGATTTAGGGGGTGGCCGCATGGGCCGCGGCCCATGGCGGCAAATTTTGCAATTTTTTTAAATGTAGCTACAAGAAAAAATCGGATTCAGAAAAAAAATTACATACTAGAAAAGGCGACAAAATCTCTCATTTCCTGAGAGTATAGTAATTTTCAATTTTGTCGTCTTTCGACGATGCAAGAGCACCTTTAATTAGTCGAGTTAAGAGAGAAACCATACACGCAATTTGGCCTGGAATGGCGCGGCGCAGAGAGAAATGATGACGAGGACTTGAAATGAAAAGGAGAAACCCTCGCCCGCCTCAGCACGGCGATCGGCATATTAGCGCAGTCAGCGTGAAACGCATGGCGCCTTCAAGACTGCCGGAATACTTCACGCAATGCGTCAAACACGGTCGCTCAACAGCGGTTGGCGTGTAACGCATAGCGCCTTCAAGACTGCGTGAATACTTCACGCATTGCATCAAACACAGTGTAGTCAGCGCGGCGGCGGAAGTTAAAATTATTAATCCACATTTATGTTTGTCCTTTCATAATTGTTTCGTTTATTTCTTATAAATGAAAGGCCTTGTCCACACAGAGATAGTTTTACGGATCCTAACTTTTGCGCGAAATTCCGTGAACTTTTGCTGGTAATGTTTCCAGGGCCTTCGCAAAAAAGGTGTTCAACATGAATAAACGCGTCTTATGCACCCCTTTTCCTCCGGCACGTTCACTTGATAGTTTTTATTGATGTTTCGAAACGAATGATAAGGGGGCGGCAAAATACAGGCGGCCCATCGGCGGCAAGGAAAATCCGGCCCTGGCGGAACAATGCAATATTTAGGAAGAAATGAAGTGACATTTTTTTATTATTGAGAAAACGTCTATTGTAGAAAAATTACATTGGGAGCGAGTTCATTGCACAAATGAAAACTTCAAACCCTAATATGACGTATTTCTGTCAAACGGAACTATGTGCATTATGAAATGAACCCTGTTATGCATATATTCTTATGGGTCTCAGGGATCATGTCTCATAGTGCAAACAGTTCCGTTTGGCAGAAATACGTCCAATATTACGGCGAAAAATGAGAGCTGGTACGTTCCATTTATTAAAAAATCAAGCCGAGAGATTTTTAGTTAAGAATAATTTCGTCATAGATTAATTTCATAAAAAAATTTAACTCATTGTCTTTATCTCTGATATCCTCCACCCGTTCTCAAAATTCAATATGAGCATATTCCCGGAATTTTTTTTTTTTTACTGCATCGATCTCCGCGTTCAATATTAACAGAAAAGGAGAACAAATTGACATCACTCCTTGAAATTTATGCTGAATTTTCTTTGAACATAGAAGAAAAATCACGGTATAGTTTTAAGGAATTGCCGTTGAGTAGTTTTTCTTTTAAAAAATAATGTATGACAGTCGATATGATCATTGAGCATAATAAAAATGAATCATAAGGGCACTATTAATGCGCTTCTAGCACTTGAGCCTGACATTAGTGATTCATGTCGGAGACTTTCTGGATCAAATCGTCACATATTCTCATAAGTGACGTATTCTCTTCCATCTTCTGGTTGACTATCTCTTGGAGCGATTTGAGTTGCACCTCGCATTTTTTGAGTAAATCGTTGTAAGAGGCTTGTTTGGCCTCATGGTCCCTTCGCATAGCGCCAACCTCTTCATTTGCCCTGAAATAAAAGCATAATTAGGTTTTAAACGTGAGACAACACTGTAACCAGAAGCAGTGGCGGGGCGTGAATGATCGCCTATCTATCTATTTATCTATCTATCTATCTATCTATCTATCTATCTATCTATCTATCTATCTATCTATCTATCTATCTATCTATCTATCTATCTATCTATCTATCTATCTATCTATCTATCTGTCTGTCTGTCTGTCTGTCTGTCTGTCTGTCTGTCTGTCTGTCTGTCTGTCTGTCTGTCTGTCTGTCTGTCTATCTATCTATCTATCTATCTATCTATCTATCTATCTATCTATCTATCTATCTATCTATCTATCTATCTGTCTGTCTGTCTGTCTATCTATCTATCTATCTATCTATCTATCTATCTATCTATCTATCTATCTATCTATCTAATCTATAGATTAAAAGACGCTTGGGGTTTACCTCTGAAGTTCAGATGTAGCGTGCTCCTTGAGACGGTTATATCTCTTCTCATGGTTCATGATTACCATCTCCATGTCAGCAATACATTGTTTCAGCAAATCCTCGTTGCTTTTGAATCCTGCAATTACTATCTTACTTTTTTCGTATTTCCTACAAATGAGAAGAGAATAAAATATTAATGCTTGAAAAATGGCTAAAAATATCTTTTAAAATGTCAGCTAATCAGCCTTTCCAGGGTCATTCACAAGACTTTTTGTCATGGGAACGGAGTTCCCCATGATATTACAATCGTTCCGTTGCTATCGCTATGGGATTCCCTATGCCTCTGCGACCTTGAGCGTTTCGCCCAGTCTTCGATTTTTGGTTGATTTTCCGATGTATCAAAAACCGTTGTACTTTTTAGCCAATCATGTCTCTACGTCAAGTTGTGTTGATTTCTAAAATTCGCTTTCAGCGAGTTTTTTTCCACCTTGAGATGTCGTGTCTGACTGGTAAATCTGCGCAGAACCACGAAGTTCCGATTTTGGGCAAATTCTTTTTTTTGGGAGGTTCCGATTGGTTATTTTTCGCCATCAGTTTTCTGTTCGTTGGTGCAAAAGATCGCCTACCTCGGTGCTCTTGAGAAGCCGCCATTATCCCACCTCAAAT